AAACTGATTGAACGGCCGCTTTCTAAGAGCAACGTATCGACGAAGAAGACGGCGAAAGAAGCCCCAGCCAAAAAGGCGAAGGCGCAGAAACGTGTTTTGGGATTTCTTTGGAAAAAGCGATAATTTTTCGGGACATCTCAAGAGAGTCCTCGACTGGACGGCCACTTGAAAGCATCAGCAACAGCGAAATGATTTTCTCACCTTTTTCCTTTTCTTTTCACTTGGGCTGGGATTGCATCACAGGGGACGGAACGGGCATTGGCGACCAGCATATAGGATTGCATGGACTCTGGAAAAAAAACCAGCCAACTGGTAAACCGTGGATGCGGGCCAGGAATATTTCCCTTTTGGAGATACTCACTTTCTTGTCTTCTTCATTTTGATCGATACCAGGTGGTAGTCAGCTACACAAAACAGAACAGTATCCAAATGAAAGTCATTTGAACGATTACATTGCCTGACTATGACTGGTTGATTTGAATTGAGACTACTGGTCCTGGTGATACCCGCAGCTTGAGTCGACAGCAGTGATGATGCGGTGTATCCTTACGAATGCTGAGAAACGAGGCGGCGTTTGTTCATACAGGGTGTCAACGTCATGACGGGACCCCCGCCCCCTGGCTGCAGACCTGCAAATCCTTGGCTGTTTGTCCTGTCGAAAACGGCCGTGCGCCTACTCCTTCATCTCTCCTCCATTTTCTGGATAATACGGGGCCGGATATCCGTACAGATACTTTTTCTTTTCTTTTTTGGCACGCGACGATTGCCAGGCTGGTGCTTTTCATGATTGAGATACTTACATTTGTGGAGGAAGAAAATGACCGATGTGATGATTTGCGAGGTTTTCTGATCTGATCTGACCTGACCTGCCTTTGCTCGCATCGTGACATGGAGGTGGCTTCCCAAAATTCTCACCCGTTGTTCCGCAGGACCAGCGGTAGTTTCCGCTTGGGAGGGAGGTTACGACTCCACCAGAGCTCCCCGCAATTCATTAAAATGGGTATTGGGAGATTTGCTCTCGGGGCTTGGGTGGGCAAAGCAAGAAAAGAAGAAGATGTGTCAGCGGAAATGGATTGTTCTAGTATTTTTGCTTGTTTTCTTTTTGTTCTTAGAAATCGGGGTTACAGGAAGATGAGTGCTTTGGGGGAGGGGGGGGGGGTTCCCGGCTTTTGGTACTTTGCTTTCTTACATGGTAGAGACCTTCCTTACGTGAGCATTTTCGTTCCTCGTCGCTTCAAACCACGGGGAAACTTGAATGTTTCTTTCGTGGAGGAGAGCATCTCAATAAACTGCGTACGAGGCTCTCAAGTCTCAACGCCTCAACTTTTGATCCAGATCTTGTTGGAGATGGGGATAGGAGGGGGGGGGGGGGGATCCAAGAACCTCACGCATACCTACGCATGTCTCTCGATCTTGTCATTTGTTCCTTCTCTTTCTTTCTTCTTTCCCGCTATCCAGATCTAGTCTTCCCTGCAGGCAAACAAGCAAAGCCAGATGACAGATTGGATTATGCCCCATAAAGAGTTTAGAAGAAAATGATTTATCTCTAAGGCACCTTATGTGCAAACTTGGTGGTTTGCTTTGCCCACCCGCCTCCTGCGATCCTGTCCTGCAGCAGGTAGGATCCCAATGAAGAAAGTGAAAACCTTTGGGGGGGGGGGGGGGGAAATAGCAAACCAACACCGGAATGTACGCCACCAAAGGCATCAGTGACCCTTTCCCTATGAAACGCTTTATCCGAGGCTTTTGTCCAGCAAAGAGACAGGAAAAGCTTGAATGGGCGGGCTTGTTCCTCTACGATCCTTCTATGTGTTGGCAGGCTGACGGGTATGAAGTCACAAACTTACCTTTCCTTTCCGTACCTACAAGTCACATTTCTACTTAGTGTACTCCGTAATAGCGGGGGGACCGGAAGGTGTAGGAGGTGGAGGAGGAGTCCCGGGTTTGCCAAGCTAATGCTCCAGCCTCCAGAACCCCCACACCTACGCCGGCGGTTCCCGGCCCGCCCGCCGTTGGGGTTTTTCTTTTATTTAGCCTTTCCCGGGGTCGGGGTTGTCTGTTTGTTTTGTTTGGAGGTGTGGCGATTGCCACCAGTGTCTGATGTTGCAATGTCACGAAAACTTTACTTGGGAGATCCCACGTCATCCTTGGTCGGCTATGCCGCTACTGATATGCAATGCTCAAAAGCGAAAAAGGCAGGTTTGTTTGAGATGGGGTGGTCCATTGAAAGGGCAAGAGAGAAAATCATGAAGGATGCAAACATGGAAGAGTTGAGAGAGACTGCCCCGTATTCTCTTGCAAGCTTGCAGCGAGATGGGGTTTGTCCATTGTGAAAGAAGGTCTCAGATTCTATGTGATTTGTATCGAAGACTAAGCTGACTTTCAAGTATTGACAAGAGAAAGATGTACAGATTCCCTTTAGATATATGTCCGAAAAGATAGTTTGCGGGTCTTCTCACTTATCTTGAGTTGAGGAACTCCGAGGGTGGAAATGCAAATAGACAGATAATGGTCCGATACCTGAGCCTTATCAACAAGAAGAGCAAATATGCAGCGTTGCCTAAACAAAGACGAGTGGAAACTTGCAAGATGAAAGAAAGGCGCAGAGAGCGATTTGTCTTTGTGTCCAATACAATGCCAAGCTGCAGAAAATCGTCGTGCGGACTCCCGTTTCTCGACAGCTGAAGACTTCTTTCACATGATGGAAATCCAAGTTGTGGTCATCTAGCCTGAGAAGAAAGAAATAGGATCGTTCGCAGGATGGCAGGGTATCTCCAGCCATTCAAATATGTCAGATAGCTCCCCATATCACCGCTCCCAGCCGGAGACTCTTGGACTTCGAAAGGAAGCAATCTCAAGCTTCTGTTGCGAACCAACGTCACCAACAAGTTTGCCACAACGTGCAATGTCTCGTAACCTGTACGATCCTCCTTTCCACTACAGCCCACGAAGGCCCTACCCAGCGCGATACCCGCCGCCGCCCTCGCCGCTTGAGATTGAGGCATATCTCGCGCCGTACTATTACGTGCGGCCGCCGCACGAACGGGCATCCTCACCGATCATGAGCCCCTTATCGAGTGGTCGACACCGAGATGACAATTCCGGAGCCAGGGAACGCGGTCGCCGTCGAGGCGAAAGCAGCGAAGACGAAACTGAGCGCGTTCAGAAAGCCGTGGCAAGCCTCTCGCTCGTTCAGCAGGCTCCCCAAGACCGTGAAGCCGCTGTCCGGTCCCGCCAGTATCGCCTCATTCAAATCAGGCTATTGCTAGTTCAAGTACATGACCAGCTTGAAATTGCACACGAGGTCTACGACGCAGCGTTCCAAAAGTTCCTGGGGCAGATGGAGAAAATCAAGGAGTTCAGCCCAGCGACAAAGAATCAGATATGGGTCGACATGATATCGAAGGATGCAGAGAAAGGCAAGAAGGAGGCGGACAGGGAAAGATCGCCGCCGCCGCTCAACTTCGATGCAGTAATGGCGCAGGTGGAGACATGTTTGCAGTCACTTGAAGGCGCTCAGATGAAGAACTCGCCGCCAGCTTCAGGCTTTGACGACAAATCACCAGACGCCGAGGGCCAATTCAAGGTGGTCGTTGACGCTGTCAGGGATATCGTCGACCTGGCCGCAAAGGCCCCAGAGGAGAATCTCGTTTGCGAAGATCTGGTGGAGCGCCTCGATAGAGCTCGGAGTCTGGCCGATACCACTTCTAACGTCTGGAGAGCCGTGCTATCTAAATTGCCGGCTAGAAGCATGGGAAGCACAAAGTCCAAAGATCCAGATTGGACCGCCAGTAACGAAGGGCAACAGTCGGGATCTTAGAGCCCGTCGTGAGTGATGCGGTAGGCATTGGTCAAATTCTAATGCGTCGTCGATCGCTTCTTGCTGGAATTGTACTGTACTGACTGACGTGGAAGTTGGCGATTGGCGTCTGCGGTAAATGTGTCGCTGGAGTTTGAGGTGAAGTAAGGGAGACATAGACTACATTGTTAGGAGGGCATATTTCTTCGTCAGTAGTATCCTTGGTTCACGAAGCCGAAACCGCAAAAAAAAAGATGTATCTTACCTGAGAAGAAAAAAAGATGAAGCACCGTCCTCAACAGAATGATCGGAATTGAATTGTCAAGTCCCTGGCCAGCCGAAGCCAGCCAGGATCCAGACGCTGCGTATCGCACTCAAGTGCTCTGCACAATCTTTTCGCAACGGCTCTCCCATAGGGACACCGAGTCCAGAGCTCATCTTCCCCCTCTCCCCAGAGGGAATTAGGGTATACATGAGAACGGCCCGAGCCCTGCTTTTCTGATGCCAATTGCAGACGTGAAGTCACGCCAGACCCTCGCGGGCAGACCCGTCATCCCGCACTAGGCAGGCGACATTGGGTGAGTGGTGTGAAGAAGTTACTCCGAATTTCTCATATGCCAGTTTGGTAGAATGAGAGACTTCCGCTTGCGCGTACATCTCTCCGTTTGTAGCATAGAAACGCAGCGTTGAAGAGGACGGTGCTTGAAGAAGGGAACAAGAAGAGGAGTCAGACTCTGCGCGGAAATTGGCGCTTTATATATGAATTTTTTGTGACGTGGGGTTGCAAGGGTCTTTGGCGGCAGCCTTGCAAATGAGGCTAACCAATCAGTGAGCTGGACTGGCAGGTACCTTCGGAAGGAAAGACCCCTCGAAGCAACCCCCCACCTGCCAGATCTGGATCCCACGCTTTATGGGTCCCGAAGCTTAGCGATAAGGATCCTTATCGCCCTGCCGCTGTGGTTCCTGCGTGAGGTCCCTTTGGTTTCCATTGTATTGGCGATGGGGTCTTTGGTCAGGTCCAGACCGCTGCACAAAATTTCCGTGACGCTGAGGCACATGTCCCCCTTCTCACTTTCTCGTCGACGACGCACCTTTTCTTCTGGTCAACGTTATTGCTCAATTTTCTTCTCTTTTGATGCGGATTCTACCGGATTCAGGTGTTCATAGTATACGACTGCACGTAGACTCTTAATCCGCAACCATGATACTCGAACCGAAGGACTTCCCGCAGATGTGGCAAAAGCCGTCAAGTGATGACTTACTCAACACGCTGAAGCAACTGGAACTTAGCCCTCCGGTATGGAGTCACAAGCGCAGGCGATCTGATATCATTCATGAACAAGAGGCCACGGCGTATTTCCGGCGCGAAGTAACGATGTACCTATCGTCCATCATCAAGAGCGGCCTCTCCTGGATTGAGGACGATGACAAGAAGGAGGAAGTCTGGTCAGAGGCTAGCCGCAGGATGACGGAACGATGTGGAAGAACCGGTACGTGTTGACAATGACTGCTGCCTTTCCTGAACTGCGCAGCCTCTAATGCCGCACGTAGCCATGGGCGAGATTACTCGGCGATGGCCCTTTAGAGAAGAGGACCTCACGCCGACCTTTGAGCTCATCATCCGGGAGCCGCCCCTGACCGGCGACTCACTTGGTCTCAAGACCTGGGGGTCTTCTTACGTTCTCGCCAAGCACTTGCCATCTATTGGTTCGACAGCTCTCTTCCGGCTCTTTGACGAATCTCTGGGCGAGCCGCGGCCATCTATCTTGGAATTAGGTTCTGGCACAGGCCTACTTGGACTTGCGGCGGCAGCTTTGTGGAAGGCTCATGTAATTCTCAGCGACTTGCCAGACATCATGTCGAATCTTTGCCATAACGTCGAGGCCAACCGTGCCACGGTGGAGAAGCTGGGAGGTTCATTGAACGCTGGCGCACTTACTTGGGGTGGCTCAGGGGATGAGGAAGTTAATCAGGATCTCTTTGGCAAACGAAACCAGTTCAAGGTACGTGACTATTGAAAATTGCTACGGAGAGACTGCTAATCTAGCCCATAGGTTGTCCTCGCTGCTGACCCCCTTTACGACGACTGTCATCCAGGGCTTCTGGCAGGTGCTTTTTCTGAGCAGCTATCAATTGCAGACGATGCTCGCGCAGTTGTAATGGTCCCGCTACGAGACGAAACCACCAAAAAGCTTCTCAAGGCTTTCCGAGATGCTATGGGAAGCCAGGAAAACCCTCTACTATGCATTGAGGAAGGAACACTCGATGGCCAGGATGACTGGGGTGAAGACAAGGAGGGCACCGACGTGACTTGTTGGTGGGGAATCTTTGCACGCAAGCAGCAAATATGAAGACTAGAGGCGCAATCGGCGAAATGATCGAGTTTGAAGACGACTCAAGACATAGGTTAGACGATGGATAATGGCATAGGCCAGCCCTCGCATTTTAGAATTAGATCTAGACAAAACAGAATTCAATGATAGATGACTCTGATGCCTTGACATACAATAATCAGGTGCAACCAACTTTACCGTCCGTCCCAACCCGTTGCCGTGCCGCGTGTCCAGCTCACGGGAGGCTCCTTCCCCCAGGAGAACCTCCTTCCATCTTCTATGTATATCTGTGGCCCTGAATCACTGCGTCTTCAAAAATCACTCGTCCCTCCCTCTGAGAAAACTCGTGGATCACTCTCCTACGGTTCTTTCTCCTCGCTTCCTTACTTCCGAAGTTTTTCACTTCTGAACTTCCTTACTTCCAAACTTCTAAACTTCACACAAATCTTCTTCCTCTTCTCACACACTGTCCCAAACAATCCAACCCAAGCTATCCTATCCACGATACACGGCCTCTCGGTATGCACCTGAGACACCTGCAAATACAGCAAACAAACGACTAACCTTAAGGATGGTTGGTCAAATCACCTATACTGAGGAAGAAATTATCTTCATTCTCCATCACAGCCTCGTCAAGGACAAGGACCATAAGGACACCTTGCGCGAGTACGAACAGCAATTCAGCAAGACTCTCACCATGGCTCAATTGAAATACGTCAGAGCCAAATATGGCCATGATCCTGAATTCGGGTAAGTTTCCTCCCTCGATGGGCCCTTTCACTACTACCTTTTGGCCTACGCCTCCCTTACTCTCTCCTTCTTTGCTTGGAAAAACGTGAAGAGTGCCACTTTCTGATAATTTTTTGGCAGCACGGCAATGATCAATGGACAGGTCCCGGACAATGGCGGTAATAGAAAGACTGCGGTTCCATCTCCATGGCAGTAAGTCGGTTCAGCTTCTCGGGAGACGTGACCCAAGTTACTAATTTTAATCAACTTAGGGAAGCAATGGTTGCACCCATCCAGTGCGAAAACGATCAAAACGATCAATCCTTCACATCTTCTACGAATGAGGATGATTCAGTCTCTGAGGATCACATGCTGCAGGTCCTGGCAAGCTATGTATACAATTCTCCCTCAGAGGCTCCCGGGAAGCTGGCTTTGTCCTCCGACGAGGTACAGCAGGATGAGCAGGCGCGTAACGACGCAGAGGAGTATGCTGCCGCACACGAAAAGATTCTGCAAATGTTCGAGGAGAATCCCGACCGCCCGTATGGTGTACAGCCTGTTCAGCAGCACTACGAGCAAATGCTCTTCCCTTCTACAGTACAGAAGCGAAAGCGGGATGAGCTTGAGGAAGCGGGTGATGGATCGATCACAACCCCGGATTCAGGCTTATCTCCTCCAGTGCTTGAATCACCTCAAGAGAGCATTCCGAAGCGTTTGAAGACCCAGCCGCAGGAGACATACTCCCAGGAGCTCCCTGCTCAGTATTTATCCCCGATGCCAAACAACAACGCACCCCAGACGACCGGACATGATGATGAAGCGTTGAACCTACTCAATGTCAATCTTCCCGAAGTCCCTGTAACCCCCGAGAATCTGAGAATGGGCACAGATCATGTGCATGCAGACCCCAGTTTGTCACCCCTGACAAAGCTTCTCAATAGCATCGACAATGAGTATCCTCAAGGACCAACAACTGACAGCTCGTTTTTCGCACAGCTCGATCGTCCGATGGACCCATCTGGCTATAGCACCGTCAACTATGAGAATACTACGTTCCAAGAACCAGATCCATCAGCTGCTCCCACGTGGACAGGGGCAGACCCAACGATGTTATCTGCGAGCCCCAGCCTCAACTTCTCCCAGTCCACGCAATTTGCGCCATGGGAAGCACCCTACAACGAGGAAGAGAGCAACTTCTGGGGTACCCAATCAGGCACCTGGCAGGGCGTGACTGGTTATGATACCGCACCGGGATTCAACTTGGATCTGCTCGTTCCACAGTATACCCAAACTTCTGCACCTTATGCATATGCTGAGTTGATGGCCAGCGGCAGCGGAACATACCAAGATTCCGGAGCCTTGATTTCTGCGCAGCAACAAATCGAAGGCCAGAACGTCGCTAGCTTCTCTGGCGGCATCAGCGTCGACTGGAACAACGTGAGCAATGCCGAGTGGGAAGAACTGTTCATGTACAGTGCGGAGCCACAGGGCCATGCCGACTATTCTCAGCAGTTCTTTGGTCCTCTCGAGTAGAGCTACGATCCGCATTTTTCCTTCTTGCATACGATCTCTGAGTTACAGTTCACATACAATTTTTGTCGCCTAGAACGCAACGAAGCATCACATAACACCTTGCCTACTTTCCAATACGATACCCCCTTTCTTCCCTTTTTCAGCAGATTCCTCCTTTTCGACAAACTCCTCTTCGACAATGAACTCACCATATTTGGACCTTCGATACGCAGGCACGGTAGCTTGCGAATAAATAGATAGGTAGTTGGTGGTCATTGCGACATAGACTATAAGATGATTTCCTCCCAGATTGGCCACAATATCCATTGTGACATGTAATGTAACGAACGACGCTCCCAGCCTGCCTTGTTCTCATAACGACATTGAAAAAGACGCACGATTTTCTAGCCTCCCATTGTCCAAGCTCCCAGCGCCAAAATCCGTCCACGATGGGTATCTAGTGCAGTAGAAACGAACAGACGGGCGCTCTCCCCCAGGTATGTTGTGTGTTGTTTTGCATGTTGTTTGTGTGTATGTGTGCGTTTGCTTGAAACTCTGGCCTCTCCAAGCAGACTTTTCTTCACAATCGACCTACCTGCTTTGCTCTGCCTTGTGAGGGTGGTGAAGTAGGCTGTAATAGTGGTTTTCGTGGGGAAACCCCGAAGAACAATGCAGTTGGAAAAAAAATCAGAACAAGAGAAATGGGACAAGATTTGAGGGAAAGGAGGCGTTCAGACCACGATGGTTGTTGATTTCCTCGACTCGCCCTCCTCTGGTGGGAAGCCAAACACGAGCCTGTACAGGTCGCGCAAGAATATATACTGGCTAGATCTTTGGCTCATGTAGTGAACGCTTTTGGCCAGGTCATGCGCCGAGATACGTTTGCCATGGGCCGGAAGCAGCGAGGATCCCCTGAACGCCGAATCGGCATGCACAAGGTTCTTGTAGTGCTGTAAAAGTGTCGAGTGCGCAGGCAAGGACCCGAAGGAGCCCGTGGGCATATGCTTGACAAAGGCTTGAAGAGCTGACTTCTCGGCTTTACTGTCAAGAGCCGGGTCTCGAGTAAAGCCAACGTTCATGGCAGCCTTAATGACGAGGGCTTTGATGCGGTTGCTGTTGCTGTCCTCGCCTGCCGTAGTCGTTGTTGCCGTGCTTGATGTCTTGTTGCTGCTTTGCGAGTAGCTCGACAATTGCGAAGCGCTGCTTGACCACCGTCCCCCACGTCCGCTGTCAGATGTTGTGCCTAGAACAAGAATATTTGGCACTCGGGGTGAGGAGCTCTCTGGAGAGATCGGCGTGTCTTCAAATTCGGTCACGGGAGTTTCAGGAACTGGTGGCGGCTTCCGTGGCCGTTCCTCGGTCAGACTTTTGTGGCTTTCCCTCTTTGAGTATGATGATCGGTTCGACGCTCTGCTCTCACCTCGAGCAGGTTGATCATACTGCTGCTGATGGCCGAAGAAGCTCGTCTGGCTCGGTCGTGGGGTGTTTCGGTCTGGCCGCACTTGAGTCCACCCGTCTCTGAAGAGGTCGCAAAGCTCCCAGCATGCCTGTACCGCGGAACACAAGAGCTCCTCGTCAGGAGCTCTTCCGTCACGCTTATTCTGTCTCAGACTGAAAAGCATCTCGGCAAGTGACCAACACGCCTTCAGCAAAGAGTCCGTCTCATCGGCCAATTCGCTTCGCTGTTTCATCAATCGATGGCAAAGAGTAATATAGAAATCTAATGTACGCTCCCGGAAGGGTTCTGGGAGGTTCTGGATGTCCTGAGCGCTATAGAGACTGGATCATGGTTAGCTAATTTGTCCAACCCTTGTGGATCTCTGGAATGGACTCACTGGTTATTCAGTTCAAAACTGACTCTCAAAACAGAATCAGCAACTTCATCCTTCCTCTGCCGGACGTCGAAAAGGGACTGGCAAAAGTCTCGGCAATGATCGAGATTCTCTCGGACGTGGTGATCATAGTGGTCTTCGTCGCGGTTGTCATACAGGCGCTGGCAAAGCCTCCAGCACGCCATCCAAGCTTTTTCGTGAGCATCGGGAGTACCTGAGCTATTGAACATCCGTGTTCGATGAATCGAGCTCAAGTTCGCTAACGTGTTACACAATGTCCAGCACTCTTGGAGAGCGGTTCGTAGAGCCCTGATTTCCGAATCCTCCTGAGGCAAGGCAGGGGTAGCGAAGGGCTCTTCGTCGTAATTTTCGGTATCGGTCTCTACTTCTCTAGCCTCGTCGATTTCTGTTTCGCGTTAGCCCATTCAGTCGTAGGATGAGTGTGTGGAATATACAAACTTTCAAGGCTGCTTGTGCTGCTAGACCTTAGCCGGGACGACTCATTAAGCATGTCGTGGAGGTCTTGCGCGCGTGGTGTGGCGCTGTCTAGACTGTACCGAACGGGCCGGATATCTGTGGAGAGAGGAGGTGGTGTAGGCAGTCCAGGGGATCTCGACTGTTCTAGCTCAGTACTTGAATGGCTTCAGGTGAAGCTTTTAGGCAGCCGTACCTTAATTGCATGATCAGTGACGGATGGAAGACTCATTGTATCGGTCTTGGGTGATGATCTCGTGCTGCTTTGATCCGGCTTTACTGTCGGCTCCGTAGAGGCCTGTCCCAAGGTTACTCTCTGCCTGTTTGGGAAAGAGTTTCCATGAGATACTTACCCAGCTATGGAAGCTTTCCGGCGCATGTATGACTGATACGGCTTCTTCACTGCTACTCTGCCGCAAATGATCGGGAATGTTGGTCGAGAGCATCATGAGCTACGATGTGTCAGTCACGCTGCCTGCCTTGGGAATGGCATCCAGAAGACTAACCTGAGGATGTGGTGCCGGATTGGTAACATTAGGCCGGGCCTGAACCTCCTCCGCCTCTTCGTCCTCGATTTCTGTTGTTTCAGTACCTGTTGAAGTGACTGGTGAAGGTCCAACAATATCGCTCGGGCTCATCAAGTTCAAATTTGTCGACGGAACTCTCTGAATGGAGTTGGGGCGCAGAGAATTGCGGCCGGAGTGATCTGAGGCGTTCGAAGACCTATACCCACATATAAGCTTGGGAACTACAACGACACCGTACGACCATAATTGCTTACATGCTGGCGAAAGGGGATTGAAAAGAACCGTTGTCGGGAGATGAGACAGACATATCGTTGTGATGGGAATAAGCAGATATTTGACTTCCGATAGACGACCGGAGGGGGGCTTCGAGTGCCATCGTCAGTCTCTCGACTCGTTCGTATGCGATAACCTTCCGGCACCGACGCAGGTAGTGATGGAAGTCGGCCGGGCTGTCCAGCAGACTGGTATTCGGCGGCTTTCAAAGTCGAGAATGCCTCGGGAGCCCCACGCAGTTTGCTTTCTGGTCGGTTGGGTCTACTCCTGGGCCGCACTGGTTAAATGGTGTTGGTCGTGATCCTAGAGGCCGTCGAGGCGAAGGAATAAAGCTGTGCTGGAAGGTCTCGTAGACGACGGCCCGGAGATCATCAAGCTTCCAGACTAGCGATAGAGGCTCGAGAGTGAAGAAGCTCGAGAGCGAGAGGGTGGGGAGGGCAGTTTAAGAGGAGCTGTGCCTACTGCTACCTCAGTGCTGCGAAGAGTAACGGTACGGAGACCGGGGTGGCTCCAGGCCGACCCTAGCTGACCGTGTCTGTGCCTCGCTCACGCGAAATATCGACAGGGACAGGTTTGGTTTCGCTGCGTCGCGGCGGGTCTACTGTGACAGCAGGGGTACCCAAATAGCGATCCTGACGATTGAAGGGACAATATATGGGGAAGGCAAGTTGGCTCGACCTGGGGGCAACGCGACCACGGCCTTGCTGGGAGAGAATTGGGAAATTTCAGAGGGCCAGATCAGGCTGAGAGCTGTACGTCTGTCTCTGCGACCTAAGCTTAGGTAGGTATGCTGCAGTATGCCCGTCTCTTGGGAAGGGCGGTTGAGAGAGAGCTGCGGCTAAGATTCGACCAAACGGGTGACTAGCACGGCTCCACTGACGGCTTCGTCGTCTATGCGGTCTCGGGCAGCTGGGCAAGAGAAGCGAAAGTTGACAGAATGGAAAAAGCAGATAGACAGACAGAAGAAGAGCAGGCGACAGCTGATTCGAGACGGTGCGGTTGATGTGGATGTCCAACGTCCACCGTACAGACACCCGGCAGGTGGCACGGAGGCGGGCGGTTCGGTGGTACGGGTAAAGAAAGAAGCCAGCTCTCCAACGGAACGGCGAGAAATTGTTATGATTTGCAGGGAAAGATGACCACCAGCAGTAATAAGAATGGGTGTTCTCGGTGCTTCTCAAGGAGCAAGACAAGCTGGATTTGAGTTGTGGAGGAGAGTCAAGTCAGAAATGTCAGAAATTTGTGTGTTGTCTGAATGGTTGACCTAGTTCCGGTCCGCCCTATGGACAGGCACCTCACATGGGAATGAATCAGAAGGGGGAGACCAGAAATGGATCGTCGTAGCGTTCGCTGGCAGTTGAGCAGAGGAGAGTGATCCGACAGGACGAAGGGAAAGAAGGCTAAGAAGTCAAATCGTTGAAGTAGAGAGGGCCGAGGTGGCCAGAAAGAAGAGAGGTCCGCGGGGTGGGATCCAATCCGCGAGCTGGGTCGGCCGCACCTCAGTCGGAGACAACCACCGCGGTACCACCACCATCTTTTGCGCCTTCTTCGTTCCCAGGAATACTAGGATACACCATTCTCCACGAACTTGAGCCAACCTTAGTTAAGGCAGGCACCGGGCAGCATGTACATAGAAGGCGATGGATGAACCAGTCAGAGATGCAGCTGCGCGTCTTCTCCCATGGGCATAGCAGCGCACCTCCTGACGGGTTCAACCAGTCAGAGTTGGGCACAAGGTGGTGTCGGTGGATGAGAAGAGCGACGTCGAGCTGTGGGCTGCATGAAGCAGACAGGCGTCGGCGCTTAGCAAAAGGTGGGTCTCGCTTCCGTCCAGTCGTGCCCGTGAACCACAACCGACCCCTGCACTTGACGGCCCCACTTAGGACGGAGGGGCTTGCCTTACACTTTGGAGGGGTGATGGAAAGGCAAGGGGCGCCCGGCCAAGAGGGAAGGAAAGATCCAGAGCCACCACTGCTCCAAAGGAAATAGCAGGAAGAGAGAAACTTCCTCAGCTGGTTCTCAACCGCCCCGCCGTCCCTTCCAGGCCTGGAGGCAGGCAATGGCTGTTTGCGGAATTAAACGTCAGGTGTATAGTAGGTAAGGTAAGGTAGGTACGAAGGAATATATGGAAGGAACGTATTTGATCATGGGTAGTACGGAGCAGCGAGACTGCCAATTAACCTGGCGAAATGGAAGTGAATGTGGTGGCATTGAGGTATTGTCTGCCAAGGTACCTCACCGAAGATTTGCTTTCTTATACCTCAATTCGACTCTGACGTGGGACAACTTTCACGAGAATTCCTCCCCGTCAATTCCAATTTCTACCCATCGTATCAGAATCATCTGGAGTCCAAGACAGAGAAGACCCTTTCCTCCGTGATTGACCGAAACTGAGGCCGGCGGCGACAAGTTGTTTAGACCGAGCCGGTATGCTGGGCCCAACGGTATCAACCGCGGCCTGCATGTCTGAATTGGGACTTTTGTCCCTCTTCTGATTGCGTGCAGTGTGCCTGCTCGCATATCGGGGATGGATGGGCGGATATCTCTCGCAACCTCCTCTAACGCCCTCTTGTCCCCCATCAGAGAGATTCGCGGGCCAATCTGACGATGCCGTGTCATTGAAGACGCGGGAAACACAGTCACGCTACCTGGAGTTGCCTATGTACTGTGCATTTGGGGGCCGTGACATGCGCGTGCACCATTGTGAACGGCTCTGCCCGTCCGTTGTCGTGGACGTCTTCGTTACCAGTCTCGGTCCCTGTTTGCCGCCCTGGTGGGAATGTGTGTGTGTGTGTGTGTATGTGTGCGAGGTGGGGGAGCTCCGTTGGGATTTGGGAGCAGACGCCTTACACCTCTTCACTTCAACTTTCAACAGCGCAGGCTGCGGTGGGCCACAAACTCATTTGCCGGCTCCAGCAACGAAATCGAACACTTCCTCGACCTGTACCTTCGACTTTTGACGAGAATTTGGAAAAGCGTGGTGGGAGTCGCTCGGCCGCCCAAATAAACAAAGCCACACCTCTGCCATATGGTCAGAACCGACTTGAGCCGTGTGACTGGGGCTGTTTGCTCCGCGACAATCCGCCTGATCCGGTCAGTAGACATTGGGCCAGGATTTAACCATTCATCAGGTAAGACCCCGAGAGAGAGGTGGTTGGTGATGTACTCTTATTCATACACCAGTCTTTACTTCACTATCGTGTGTACTACCAACAGAGTGCTAATCGTTGTAGGAGGGTATAAGAACAAGTTCTTCGCGAGCCCAACGTGTCTGCCACGCATCAGACGTCCGCGTTTCGACATTGATGTAATTCGTACTCTGTACTCAAATCCCCGCTTCTCTTTTCTATTCATGGCAACACGGATTCCGATAATCTGGAACGGCGTTTCCTCAGTACCTTACGGATATTGAAGGGGGGGGGGGGGGGATTTGTAGCGGCACCATGCTGCAGTGAGGTGCACCGTTCGACACAGAGTGGGCCCTGATCGACCTTCATTCACACGCTACCAGGTGTGACAGGCCACACCCAAGCCTACCGTTTGTTTAAACCGTCCGTGGTAGGGATTGGGTGGAAGCCCGGGCCCGTTGCGGCTTCAAATCCTACTGGCGGGTACATATCCCTCCTTCACCGTTGGTTTTGCGTTGGCTGTTGGTTAGAGTCTTTCTTCGAAAATCTTGCTAGCCAGACTCTGTCACCTGCCCAGGCAGCTGTTCAGCAGCCTATCCAATGGTTGCAATGAGTATTTGGTCGGTTTCCTTGTGGAAGACAGAGTAGGAGATGCCTGACATCCAAACTTGTGACTCAGTTCTTGCAACTCGATGGTCGTTCCTGTTTGAAGTAGCATACATAGAATAATGGTACGCTTACAACAAATCATATTCGGACTTGCCTTGGAGAACTTTTTTCTTGAGATTGGCGTACAGAGTAGGCTACACACATCTCAAAAGTCAAACCCAAGTCAGTTATCCTGGGCAATCGCTACATAGAAACGGGTAACAAGATCCGGCCAAGCATCCCAACAATTATGTTGCTCAAGGAAACCCCGCCCCTGTCAGGGTCCCCGGCGACCCGTTGATGTCTCGCAGACAGACTCATCACCTGACAACAGCTCGCTTCGTAAATTCATCGACGTTGTAAGTACGCTTGGTAGGCTTCGCAAACTGCCCAGAACCTGGAAGGCGTAACATTGCTGGTCCTCAACACGAACTTTTCATCGTCCATTGAGGCCGTCATTTTCTTGAAGAATTGCATCCCAGCCATCGTTTTAGTACAGTGATAGCCCTGGCTATCATGTAGGTGCCTTCGACTGATCACAGCGCTAGCACGACAATTGGTAAAAGCAAACCACCTCGACCCCAGCGACCCGGTGGGGTGTGCAGCTCCAGCCTCCAGGACCCAGGAATCCGTGGCCGGGCACCAGTTTGCTGATCGTCGATGGAGGGGCCGGACTATTCACCCACCACCCCTCCACGCTTCGAAGGATCAGATACGATGTCAATATCGCCGACGCCTGCGGCAAACTCATTTTTCCAGATATCAAGAACGAAAGGGAACCAACTACTAGCCAAGGATGGTATGAGATCTTTTCCCTCTCCATTCTCCGTGAGCCCTCACCTCCCGAACGCTGGCCTGCGACTAGCCGGGGTCTCTGCTTGCTTCGTGGTATCCCTGACGCCACGACCGCATCACGCATGCAGTTCAACGCGCGTAGGCGCCAACAAGCAGCTCTGCGGGCTCTCTACGGCTCAGGACTCCCCATCCGGTATGGCTTTGCTCTGTACGACATGTAGGAAGCTGGAGTTATGGTGTATTTTGGACACCGGAGAGCCAGTCGCGGTAGCAGTTGCGCGCTAAAGTCGAATCCTTTCGCGGTTGCGCCAGTCCCTCGAGCTCAGGATTCCAAAGTAATTTTGTACTCACGCGAATACAACTCGATGCCATGGAGCTGTGGGTCTTTGTCACTAAGTTTTGCTTATCTGTGAGCGGTCTTCCGGTTCCGCATATGCGTCAGTCTAGTTCGGCCAGGCGGACGTATCTCCAGACTCTGAACGCTGTGCAGCAAACCAAGGCTTGTTGGAGCTACCCTGTGTCCTGTGACAAATCACCACCATCCGCGAAATGAAAGCTTCGGCGGATACGGCCCCATTCAGGAAATCTGGTTGGTGCATCTCGCGGCAAAAACCACCGCTGCGCCATTCCCAGACCCTCGGGTCTTCAAGTTAGCCACTGCTACACGGCCAGCACAGCACTTTGCACCCGCTGCCTTGCTAAACCCATGTCCCCGTTGGTGCTTGGAGCATCACGCGAAAAGGAAAAAACGAGGAAGAATGGGTCACCATCTACTCCGTACCAGGATTCAACAATCGAAACAAGCACCAGGCAGAAATCGGCAGATTGGCTTGGGCTCTCCCGGGTCGTGTACCCGGACTGCCTGTTTCTCTGCAGAGCCCAGGACAATCGCGGAGGTTCAATCGGTGAACTCCGCCTTGCGTATAAAATTCTGGCCCCCAAGGTCAGCCTGCTGTACAACGTCACTGACCGGAAAGATGCTGGAGGCTCTTTGGCCGGTACATGCTGTGCTAGAACTGATATTCTTCGTCCATATAGCCCCGTCTCACCACCCACCATATGCCGTTGCAGCAAGGCGCATGTGGTCAGCGATTAGCACGCTAGGCGGACTGACATGAAAGCTACTTTTGCCTACTGGCTGCTACCTCTGCCTTGACCGCTAGATCAAAGTGATGCGCTGCTTTCAGACTCGGAGAGAACCAGTCATTCTGCTAGAGCATTGAAACATTGTTGGGGTGTGACACTACTACACACATGTGAATACCTGTTTCATAGGTCGCCTGATATAGCTGCGTTCTTTGTTGGAGGGATCTCTCGAAGAGCTGTCACTGTGGGAAACCAGATGGTCGTCCAGCAAACAATTGGTACTGCCGACCAGGTGTTGAGCCCATTGACTAGGACCCAACATGCTGTCTAATTACATGACGAGCGACGTGAAGACTAGTAGAGTCATCTTGGAGAATCGAGACCTTCCGAGATAGCATTCCTGCGTACAATTGCAACCACAGTCAATTTCCATGTGGCGGGGTTGCATCCGGGCCTGTGGTTGTCTCGATGCCAATCGACTTGCCTCTTGCCACCGCTTGCTGAGCTTGCTTTGAGGTGGCTGGTTCTCGCTGCCTGTAGGAGTCGGAGACGGGAGCTTTCCATCTGTACTGAAGGACATGTTCGCTGACGCTCCGTCACGGCTCGAGCACAGCTTTTCTCCTATTCGCGCAGCGCACTCTGCCTTCCTCGAGAATCCCTAACGCCTTGCAATGCCAATGTTTTCCAAAAACTCCAATTCGTGAAATCCATCCCGAGCACTTTACGGGTTCAAGGACATCTTCTTCTCGTTGCGACCGTCCGGTGTGTACCTGTAGGGGTTTGTAAGCTTTCGAAAAAACGATTCGGCGCATGCTGCTCGAGGGTATACATACTTGAGAAGCTTCTCAATAAGGTCGACGTGGGTCATGACCATGCGGCGGCAGCAGTAACGCTTCAGGCCAAGCTGGTCCATCGCGTCACTGTTGACGTGAATGTTAATTATCGTGTGTCGCAATCCAGCATCGCGATCGTGGTGACTCACCCATCCGTAATGCCGTCGTCGATGAGCTTGAGGTAGCGCTCCCACAGGTCTCCAGTGACCTGACGACAGAAGTTAGATACCAGGCGTCCATCGCATGCAATCATCTGTGCCGACGAACCTTGCCGCAAGAGAAGCAGCGAACGGGGATAATCATTGTGCCTGAGAAAGTCGGAAATGGAGCTGTGGCAGTTTGACGTTTGTTCACTGAGAGACCGTAACGGTTCCGGTACGTCGCTTCTCGAGGTGTTGCGTGGTTTGAGGTCCTGGGACTGTTGCCTTCCGAAATCGTCGTCGCCGTCGTCAAAGAAAACTTCCGGGGCTTTCCTGTCGCAGTGGAAGGCGCGCGACCAGGCGGGAGAACAGAAAATTTGTCGGTCCGTGATTTCCTCCGCTGCTTATCTTATCGGTGTTGATTGTGGGGGAGCTCCACCAATTGCATGGCCGGGCGACTGGGCGGGACCCAAATTTCTTTGGGAACTCTCGAACTTTTTTTTTTCTTAGTAGGAACGAAAGAAGGGTAGTGTGTGCGAAACAGAGCAGGATTGAAAGCCAGAGACTACCGAACGAAGAATAGTCTCCAGGCCGCCGCTTTCCTTCCTTGTCTCCTCGCCTCGAGATATTTGCGACTTCCAATTGCCCGTACTTGAAAATCGTTCTCGGCTTTCGCGCAAATTTATACCTACACAATGGCTGGCCCTTCGACCCCGAGAAGTCGGGAGGACCAAAAGAAGCGTAAGAGAGAGCAGAATGAGAGGGACGGACAGGCGAAGCGCCTTCGGCAAAAGACAAAGACGGCGGGCAAAGCAAATGGCCAAAAGAACGGAAATACCGACGCCGACGACCTCCGCGACGGCGCCTTGAATGTGCTTTCGCAGCTCCAGAAGAACCTTACCGACGACCAAATTGAGACCGAGCTAGTCAAGCTCGGCGACACGGAGTCTCAGGAGGCGGGATGGCAGGTTTCCCTGCCAATGGGCGGCCGAATGGCTGACATCGATCCCATCTTTGCCGAGAACGAGAAGTAGGTGCCAACTCAGCAGGCGTTTCTTGGTCGACTTCTGGTGTCTAACATGAGGGGAACCAGGTACCTGATCGTCACTTACAACACATCCTTGCAAATCTACTCAGTGGCCGAGTCACTACTGATCCGAAGAATCGCCCTCCCAGTGGTCCAAAACACATACGCGGAGAAGTCGTCTGCACCCACGATCGTGGCCACGCGCCAGTCGCAGCTCAAGCCCGATTTCCTCTGGGTGGCCTGCTCTGACGGCAGGGTCTGGCGGGTGAACTGGAAGAAGGGAACCGGTGTCTATGACGAGTTTCGGACCCAGTCGCAAACGGCGCTGGACCTGTCCGTGGCATCAATCGAGGGACAGAAGAAGACAACGGAGGTCCTGTACGTCTCGGAGGGGAAGAAGCACGCCAAGGGCGAGGTTGTCGCATACTCGGGCCCCGATTTCAAGCAGCCCACCGCCGAGGTCCTTTTTGCTACGAAGCAGGTCGATCAGGCGATCCACCTACTGCGCTCTAGTCCCAATGGCAAGACCATTGTCGGAGCTACCAAGGACGGTCTCGTCGTTGGAATACTGACGCCGGAGTCCGAGTGGGAGTTCTTCACGTTCGATACGACCGATATTATCTGCGCCCTCGACATCCGGGTTACACACAGCAAGGACAACTCCCTCGTCCTCGATCTGATTGCGGGTGGTGCCCGAGGTGCTATCTACTTCTACGA